TTTCCAGAATACACCAGTCGTTGATCCTAACCGTTGCTCGGAAGGAAGCAACTAGGCGGCCATACGATAAAAAAAATTGACTCGGAAAAGTAGCAATTTCACTGCTTAAAGTTGCTATGAACCTTTCATTACTTGCGGATTTAAGAAAATTGAAGTTTTGCTACAAGATGCGACCGCAGATCACAACATACCTCCTCAAAAATTCAAAACATTCTCGAAATAAAGACTGTTTGCACAGGCGTCCCCACCTTAGTTCAAATTTGCAAGCAGAACATTCTTTTCCTAAATAAATCTTTCTTAATGACATGACGGTACATAACAGTCCATGATTACTGTTACCCCTATTTGATGACGATTAGGGTTCATAACAGACAACCTGTTTAGCTTAGGAATACGGCCTAACAACAGCAGTTCGCCTCTTCATAAGAAGTGAACTTACAACTTCAGGACGTGTCTGTAACAGGGACGTAAAGCAAATGCGGGATCTTCCCGTCTAAATCCCGTAAACAACGAAAGGATGACAAATTATTAGGATCAGGGTACGAGCGACGCTTGATAATCAACCATCGGTTACCACGGCTTTCCGCTTTTTCTACACAAGTCGGAGGTAATATGGAACTATGAGGAAAGCAGCCAAGATCTTAAGAGATTAATGCGAAACCAATGACCGCGTAAGACATTCGTAACGAGCGTCGCCCGAAAATCGTTTCGGTAATCGTTTGATCACTTTCGAGACGCATGCATATGTGCAAAACGGGAAATGACTATTTCACATGCACATGGGACTCACTCTCACTAAAGGGACGACAGGCGATGTACCAAAAATAGTGCAATCACTAACTTGGAAACTTCTTTAAATAAAAGTTCAAAAAATAGACATCAAATGTTCAAATCAATAAAATTATTCAACACCAAAGAACAGCAACGACCGACCCATAATCGTATGCAAATTATTGATTCAGCGACATGTCATGAACATAATCCAGAAATCTGTCTTACTTTCATCGCCCGCTACACTGGATGTATACCTAATTGTCAGGATAACAAAAGGAAGTACTTCATTTGGAGGGCTAAAAAACAAATTGAAGTGTATGGCACACCATCAGTAATACAATGAAAGAATTAGTGTCTAATGTTGACAATACTGGAAGTCCACATTCTGCAACGCTAAAATCATCTGTTTTACATTTTATAATTGTAAAAAATGAAAAAATAAAAATTCGTCATTTCACAATTCCTTCGATCGCAATTCCCACGATTTGACTTCTTTCATTTTTGCTTTATGCAGTATACTTTACAGAAATACCGCTACAACCTGATAGCAAACATCTTTGCTAAATCGGAAAATTAGGTAAAATTCCTTTATTTGTTGTGCAGCAGTGTCTAGCATTTATTGCTCGAATATTCGCGTTAGAGCACCGACGGAAAGGAAAAATTAGTCAACGTTTATTTTTCGGTCTTCCTTCACTTTCATGATCAGACGATTTTAGTGCCCTTTTTTTCATGAAGTTGATCGTGCTACTTAGATTTCCGTTTCCTTGAAAGTAGCTGGCAATTCCTTACGTTTAAAGGTAAAGCCGACGGTCACGTAACAAGCGTAGGGTGCAATGTCGTGTTTTTTTCCACAGTACTGTGCACATTCATCAACCTCGAAATGAACAAAGACAAGTTCGACCGAGGCTTAAACTAGGGGCTTATCATTTCTAAGCAACTCTGGTAAGAGTCACTTTGTGGTAAATTCCTCGCTAAAAGAAGTTCGTGACTAAGACACAGAGTGCCGTAAGAGAGAATCGAACCGGGCACCTCCCGAGTTTGACGCAGACTTCGTAGACAACTCTGCCACTACAATGATGGAGATGCAAATTCAGTCTAGTCTGGGATTTGAGAATGTATTCGCTGCAACGGTAGTAACTGAGAATTGAATTACCTTACGGAAGAAGTTTGTAAATGTATATTCATCTAACATGCTAATCAATGCACTTTCGCACGACAAGTAGAACTTTAGGTTAAGCTAAAATACAATAACACTGGAGTGAAAACGTCGCATTATTTGAAATGTCGATTGAATTATTGGTGGCACAATCATTCGATTCGCATTAAAGAATTTATATTTATTTTTTACTCCGCGTGACAGTCAATGATCCGGTTACGATAGTTCTCTTCGCAAAATTTCCGCGTTCGGTTTTGGCGGAATGATTCGCTACCCTAGATTACGTTGACAAAGGTACATCTTTGAAATTTTTATTTCAAAAGTTGTTTATCTACAAGAGACACTGGCATTAATGAATTTCTGCGCGGTACTTCACCATTAAAAAGAGTTGGCGCACAAATAAAAAGCTAAGAATCTGGATTATTTTAAACAGTAAAAACTCTTCACTGGAAAACATCTTATTTCAATTTCATTTTATCGAAACCCTTTCCTTCATCCATACATTTTGACATACGTTTGTGTCTCGTTGAAAATATGATTTACGGTGCTTATACATGTCAAATTATCCGGATTTCCTCAAATGTTTGCATTCTCTAACCATTGTTTTAAATAGGAATGCTTGTTACTTCATGCACTATTATGCAATGTGTTTCATTCAATCGCCTGTTCATCATAGCTGTTTCTGCGAATCATCCTCTCTAAGTGGCATTCTTTCCTATGCTGTAACAATGCGCCAGCGGCAATCTAAGATGTGAGCTAGATGGAGGAGATGTACTTCTGCCTAGGGAGGATAGATGTAGATCCTCTCGCATGATGGAATGGATTTCCATAGCTGTAGTATATTTGTTTTCATCATAACCTGCTGATGTTCTGTGAATTGACTCAGCCTGCTGACTCTTCCTATTCTTGCGTCAGTTACGATTTTATGCATTATACATATTCTTGGCTTCACTTTTCATATGATATGTTCAGTCAGTTAAAAAGATTATTATTTTAATCAAATTTCATACACATGCAATTATTTCAATTACCGCAGAAGGTACCCACCAAAGCCAAATCCATATTCATTTATATACGTTTGTTGTTGTGCTATTTCTGATTGAGTGCAAAACACTTTAACGTTTATGATTTGTTGAATTATTTTTTTGGATGGTTGACGTTTGGAGCCGATGTTGTAACTCTTTCGTTCATCTGCGGCATTGAGGTCGTGGATTTGGAAACAATTGAGACAAGATGGTGTGTTGGTGTAGCCATGCCAAAAGATGCGACGTATAAATCGGTGTTGAATAATACTTGCGCTTTGAGGATATAATTCGCCTTAGCCTACCATGTAACTGATTATAAATCAGCATAATTTGTAAACATAAATTAATATAATTTATATCAAACATAATCTGTAAACATAAGTAAACAGTATATAGAATATTGCGTGAATGCTGTACTCACGGTGCAAGAATTTTTGAGGAATAGAATGTATTAATTGATCGAAATAATAAAACTCATGTTGCATCCCTTGACAAGATTTATGTTTCTGTATGGATCCTGCTCTGCGCTACCAAGGCTTCCTAATTCGCGTATTATATTTCAATGGTTGAATTACTAAGGTGTTGATTAATTCTGCGCTGGAACGTGATGATCTAAAACTACAGTACAAATCTTGTGCGCATGTTTGTAAGCGCAAACGAGGGATGGTAAAATAATGAGTTGCTTAAATTTTATGAAATGTCCTGAGCGAAAGTTTATGAATTTTGTGCGATTATTTGAATTGAATCTGTTTTCTGCGTTTAATGGTGCCACTCAGATTTGGAATATTTTGTTTTCTCCTTCATCATTGGTCCTTTTATTTCAAAAACAGGTTTCTTCCGTTTGTGCATAGTTTTGTCTCATCAGCGCGTTGTTTTCCATCTGTTTAGAAAAGCGTCAATTGTCTTTCATTTAAGAGGAACAAAGAGATATTGTTCGAAAACTTATACAATTATTCTGCGGTCAGATGCTTACTGGAGGTTATGTCAGATCTTGTAAGCATCCATTTCCTAGTACACAGGTTCGAAATAACTAAGGTGAGGCAAGTGCGTTGTAATTAAGTTGGAGTACTGTTATGTGTAATCGTTTTGCAGTGTTGTTTAAAATTAGATGACGATGGCAACTACGGTTCTCATGACCTCTGCTGAACAGTGAACGTATCTACGGTTGCAGTTAGGTTTCTGATATTAATTGCTGCGAACTACTTTTGTTGTTTTCGTCAGTTTCTTATTTGCTACATCTTGTAATTAATATCTGCTTTCGAAGTATGTTCAATCTTAGATTTCGCTGAATTTCAGCTTAGACACTGTGTAACACAACATGCCCACGGAAAGTTATTCGAATCCGCTAGCACCGTTGGACCACAAGGCCCCTGACGATGGAGCAGAAATAGCGTAAGTGTTTGTTCTTTTGTCATTGACCACTGCTGTACATGAAACTGAATTTGATTTGTAAAATTTTCAGTGGGAAACAGCACCCGTTAACGAACGATGACTTTCGGAAGCTTCTCATGACACCGAGACCAACGCCAGCTTTATCCGGAAAGACATCCCAGCCGTCTGTCAGGAATTTCTCTCATAGAGCGAGCCATTTCGAGTAGGCTATTTAGAGATTGTTCTGCAATGCACGCGTATGAGTGAATGGACTAGAGAGTAAATGAGCCAATGAATAAATTAACAGATGGATAAACAAATAGAGGAAACAATAAACAAATGGGTGCATCAAGGGGTGAAATTTTATTTCCTGAACTGGATCGTTAAAGAGCAGGAATAAAGCAATAAATAGAGCACTGCGAAAATCTTATAATTGAAAAGAATACCACAAAGCGTAGAATTGATCTCGATGTGCAGACTATGCAGATCTAAAAAGATGAATCATGTGGTGAATGGAACCGCAGGACTTTAGACAAAACAAATGCAAAAGCGAGCATGATGAGAATTAGGCCGCAGTGGATGAGTTCAGGTGATGCTACTTAACTTCATTATTAAATATGAAGAATAGGAGTTGAAGCTGGAGAGCTGAATTTTTTGGTTCAGCATTGTCATGGCAAAGCCACCAGCGCCATTGTTGTACTTGAATCTAGTGAATAAGTGTTTCTATTAAATATGCTTTGTCTCATGACAAAGCCTATTTTAAATATCTGTTTCGAAGATTCCGTTGGCGCCATCTAAAGACAAGATGTAAATTAACCTATTGCTTTCGAAGACAA